TAACTCGTATCTAATTCGGTACAAACTTGTTACGCTCGTAATAATCTCGTAGTTAACTCGGTGCCCTGCTCGGCATAATTCGTACATAACTCGTAACCAACTCCATAAAGTCGTAGCTCACTCGTAGCTATCACGTAATAAGCTCGTATAGGTCCTTTCCAAAGATCACAAGTTTTAACTCCTGGAAATCGTACGACTCTTAGGTGAAATAAACCTAGGTGGGAGAGGGGCTTTAGTTATAATGTATATGCTTTGTTGATTGTGTTTTGTAAGATATTTTAACCTATTTAGACTGTCTATTAAAACCTGCAACACCAGCAATGCTAGTTGAAAAATCAAAGTAAAATTTTTCATTTAAAATACAATAATCATATAAGTTCACTTCGAACAATTCACAGATTTAAAAGTTTTACTGATGCACTGTTAATTTTACTACAGTTAAGAACCTGTACATTATTTAGGTAGCGTTAATAACGCCAAGGACGTGGCGTAGTGAGTGGCTTTAACAACGCCACTGCCTAGTTCACACACAAAGGCGTACGCTACGCCATGCTTAAGCCAGCCTTGCGCCGTGTGTGTGAACATAGCCTAAATTCAAGTGACCACACATCATTTGGGAATGTTGATGAGTTTCCCAGGTACTAGACAAGGACAGGCAATTACTAATCCTTATTGGTCAGATGGTATGAAAGGTGATGCTATATCACATACATTTGTACTTTTACAGACACTCCTCAGTTTGCCCTCCCATTACTTTCGCTTTCTATCAATTTGTATGTATCGTCAACTTGTTTCTCAAGTGTTTTTGTAGATACGCTTTTCACTTGGAATAAATTGTACAGTTCTACATATAAATTAGTGTGGTGTATTTTTATCATCTCATCGTACACTTACACTAAAGTGGTGACCTCCAACGTTTCAGTGCACACTCTTTGCATCAAGTTAATAATGGAAGGACAACAGCAACAAGTTCAACAGCAACAACCTGTCGTATCTGCTTCAGATGCTGCACCGCCTGCATTATCATCAGTTTTTCTGAAACTTCCACCCTACTGGCCCAATGATCCAACATTATGGTTCACGCAGGTTGAGGAACAGTTTACAACCAGGCATATCACGGTGGACGCTACGAAGTACGCGTATTTGGTGGGCTCCTTGCAACCGGAGATAGCCCAAGAAGTGCGCGATCTCCTACTTCACCCGCCACAGGACAATAGGTACGTACAATTAAAGGCATTAATAAAACGGACACCGTTCAATTACTCTTGATCTGGGATTACGTCGCAAGCCTTCATGGATTTTTGTGATTGTGGATGTGTCGCACCCCATTATAGGCGCCGATTTTCTACGACATTTTGGACTCCTTGTCGACATGACTCA